AAGATTCTCACCACCAGGCCGATTGGCAGCATCAGGGTAGATGGTGAAGAGATTGAGATTGTTAACAGCTTTAGTTTGCTTGGCTCCACAATTGACACTCTTGGCACCAGCAGCCAGGAAATTAAAAGATTAATTGCATTAGGAAAGTCGGCTGCCAGAGACCTCTCCAAAGTACTGAAAAGCAACAATGTCATTCTGGAGACTAAGGTGTGCCTGATCCAGACCATGCTCTTTGCAATTACTTGCTATGTAACAGAGAGCTGGACAATGACTAGGGATGATAGAAGAATTCATACCTTTGAGCTGTGGTGCTGGCAAAGATTATTGAATATAACATGGACTGCTAGGAGAATAATCAGGTTCATCCTAGAGAGGGTGAAACCAGGCTGGAGGGACCAGTCCTTGGAAAAGGACGTCATGCTTGGGAGAATGGAGGGACAGCACAGGAGGGGAAGACCCTTGATGAGACGGATTGACTCAGTGACTGGGGTAATGAGGGTAGGTATATAAGAGACAACAAGATTGGCACAGGATAGAGCAGGGTTTAGGGCTGTTGTACATATAGTTACTATGAGTTACAGGCTACTTGATGGCACATTATAACAACAATATAATCTAGGGGAACGTGTACATAAAATAAACTATCTTTTCTCTTTTAAATAAGATTCAAATGCTAAAGACAAAATTCATCATAAAAGATTAGAAGTAGGCAGAGGATAGGCTAAGAAATGGAGTTGTTGTTACTGTTCTGTCTTGAGTTGGTTGGTACATACACACGTGTGTGCGCGCGCACACACACACACAAATATTGCCAATTGTTGTTATATGCTGTGAAGTCTGAACCATCTCATAGCTGACCCTCCAGCAGGTTTTCAAAGGATGCAAATTGCATGACAGGAGATTGAATGCCTCTCTTTTTCCTGCAAAGCAGCTTATGGATTTGAACCGTTTGCCTTCAAGTTGGCAGGGCAACTCCCTACCCACTAGGTCACCAGAGCTCCTCTAAATAGAATAAAATAAAATAAAAGTCATGCATGATCATGATGACAACATATCATGAACCAAAAATTATAATTAAGCCCATTTCGCGCATTGAATAGCCCATTACAATAAATGAAAATAATGAAGACTGTCCCCTCAGCTTGACCGTAGTTCTGCTTATTTTTGCACTTCCTCCCACAGTGATGCTCAAGGGTCATTGCAACCTTGCTCTTGGCAATCGGGGTTAGTAGCGCAAGGCTGGGCAGGAAATGAACTGGGGGATGAAGCCATATCTACTTTAACACTGTTCTCGATAGGTCCTTTGTGGTGAGGGTTTCCAAGAACCAGCAGAGCAGTTGAAGGAGCTGAGCAATATTTACAAGAAATGCGTCTTTGCCCCACCCCTTGCCTACCCCCACTCCTCCCCTTTCTTCTTCCCATCCCCAGCCTTCCTCTCTGCACAGGCTGTGAAAAGCCACTGTTCACAGGAGCCCAATAGTAAATATTTCCACAGAACAGACCCACTTATCCAATTCTTTCTGGAATCTGGGGGAAACATTGCTCAGGGCCCTCCAGATCCCTGACTCTCAGGAGACCCTGAAATGATTAACCCGCACAAATGTTCCTTTGAGTGGCAGCGCGACAGAGTCATGAGCCCTAGCGGTGCAATAGTTAAGTGCTGTAACTAAAAGGTTGGAGGTTCAAAATCACCCAGTGACGATAGGAAAAAAGACCTGGGAGTGATTCCTGTAAGGATTCCAGCCTAGTAAGCAAACACTATAGGGTGGTTCAACCCTGCAATCTACTCACAACAGCAACTTCATAACAAAGTAGCGATGAGCCTGGATTGTCGTGTCTTCAGTGTGCACCTTTGACAGTTTCTTCACCTGCCTAAGTTTATCCCTCTATAAAATGGGAATAAAAGGTTATTTTCCATCTGTAAGATAACTTAGCAGCTTAGAAAGTCATTGTGAGTTTAAATAAATGAATACATGCAAAGTGTGCAGAATATACACTGGCATAGTACATACTGAATGAGTGTTAATTGTGACAACTGCAGACCAACTATATGCCTGGAACAAGGCTAAGTGTTACTACAAAAGATGGAGATGAATCAATGAGACTATGAGGTGTTAGCAAACATTTTCCATAAAGTGCCAGATAATATTTTTGTCTTTGTTGGCCTTATCACCTCTGTCACATCTACTCAGATATGCCACTGTTACATGAAAGCAGCCATAGGACAATGTTAATGAATGAGCATGCTCCAATGCTCCAAACAAACTTTGCACATGGATACTGACATTTGAATTTCATCTTTTTCACATGGCACCTGAGTGTTCTTCATTTAACCATGTAAAACCCCCATAAGGGTTTGCATAGGCATTCTAATAAGTTAATTGCATCAATGAACGGTAATTTTTCCCTTACGAATGACTGTCTGAAAAAAACCCAGTGAGATTTGTAAACCTACAACTAGATTAAAATTTTAAAAGACAGACACGTACAACATGTAAAAAATTTGATTCATGTAAAATCCAGTTTTAGCTTATAGGCTGTATACACACAGGTGTCAGACCAGGACAAATGATTCCTGGTCCAGTGGAAGAAAAAAATATTAACCTCTCTGGGTTTCTCAGCAATATGTGCACACTCAGACTCTGGTGGCAGAGCCTGTAGCAAGTTGAGCTACGTGTCCCTATTGGTTCTAGTCTATCAGCAACAATGAAGGAGAAAGATGGGTAACCCCTTCCCATTATGGTTTTCAGCCTCAGAAACCCAGTGGAGGGCCCTGCGAGTCAGAACCAACATGTTCAGTGCCACATTTAACATATGAATAAATCAAGCCTTCTTCAAAAGCCTGTAGAAATGCTGCCTCTTCCTTGAAGCCTTCCTGGTCGCCCTAGCCACGGGCAGTAATAACTCCACCTGCTACCTTGCACATGGTAAACACGTAATGTCCAACATTATTATAAAATGTATCGTGAGATATTTAAGACAAATGGAAAACATTCTGAGACACATGGCAACCTCGTGTGGCACAGAGCACAACTGCGCTTACAGGTTTTCTTGGCTGTGTGCCCTTTACAGAAGCGGATTGCCAGGCCTTTCTTCTGCAATGCTTTGGGTGGATTCAACCAGCTACACAACCTCCCTTCCTCTCACTCTCCTGTCCTTGTGCATATAAATCAGTAAGCAGGAAATAGCATTCATCTGCATGCACATCCCTTATTTTATCCCATCCTAATAGCCCCAGCATGGATTATAGTGATTTAGAGATTAGTCTCATAACTTGTTTAAGGTGCCTAGGGAAGTGGTAGGGGTAGCTGACTCCACACCACAATCACTGTTCCTCACCATTGCTCCTCTCTATTCCCACAGCCATTGCACCCATTAAATCCCTAGTGCCCTATGAATTCTCTGACTTGCTTTCTTCACTAGATTTTCAACTACCTGTGAAAGTTTGAATATTACCTTTGTGGGAAGGAATTATTGGTGACATCCCCATCCACTCCCTAAGACCGTGCACCTTATCAGAATACAAATCTTTCTTCAGAAGCACCTTAGCGGTCCATTGTCTCAACAGTGGACGGGGAAATGGCTAGAAACATTTTCCAGAGCAAAGCATGCTGGATTTCATTAGAAGTTCGGAGCAACTCTTATTTGTTCAAGAGTCAACTTTACTGGAAAGGATGAAGCTTGCAATCCTCAGACTCTTAGAGGGTGGGGGTGGGGAAGGCTGTGCACAGATAAAAAGGGGAACTTCAGGAAATAGCCCCACAGAACCAAGAAATCTTTCCTTCCTTCCCGGCAGCCACGTGGGGTCTGAGCTGGGGTGTGGGATCCAGTCCAAGCTTAAAATAAACACTAGAACCCAATGAGGAATAAGGGGCATTGGCCCTCCAGTACCTGTGGGCCAGTGTCCAAGAAGATATGTGGACCAAAGAGGGGACGAAAGCAAGATGACCCACAGGCAGGGAGGAGAAACCAATTTTTACTAATAGCTAATACATGTATTGACAGCAGTGTATCCTCTCAGCCCGCTAGGTCTTCTTCAGGTCATGCATACTAATCAGATTTGTGGTTCCAGTTTAAACCAATCTGCACAAGATGGACAAGGGGTTGAAATGGATGGTAGCAAAGAACTTGCTGACTTTCTGTACCATCAAGTCAGAACTCAGACCTGACCCTGCAGGGATTTTGGAGGCTGTAAATTGCACTGGAGAGGTCTCCCATGTGGCAGGTGGACATGAACCACCAGGGACATGCATTTGGCTTAGCAGTGCGACTCCCTACAGACTAACCGTGAGAGCTCCTTGCAGCAAAGAAATCACATTAAAAATACTAAGTATCCAAGCACAAGCAGTGAGAAAAGGGCAGGGTTTGCATCCCCACATACTCCCAGAATAAGCCCTTTGTCAAGCACTTATGTGCCTTTGAATTGGAACCAACCTATAGCTGACTCTCCAGTGGGCTTTCAGATAGTTAATTGCATCTGTCTTGTGCAGAGCAAGCAGCTGGTGGACTGCAGCACAGCTCAAAGGTATGTTCGTCCAAATTTGCCAGCTGTTCTGTAGGAGAAAGACGGGCAATCTTTTCCCCATACGATTTACTGCCTCAAAAGACCTGATGGAGAGTCAGCTATGGGTCAGTTCTGACTGACCAGTGCCTGCTGGATCAGTGCACATGCTGCACAGTAAGATAACAAGCCAGTGGCCACAGTGGCTGCCAAACCTGAGAAAGGTTGGTAGTGTGATTGACATGTAGCCACACAGGCTTTTTTAGTGTGGTTCTTTGGTCAAGAAGTGTGGTTGGGATTTCACGGCACCACCATCCCCCCATGCCAAATCCTGTTCCTAGTATTTTACTGTTTGACCATATCATTCATCTCAAAAAAAAAAGGAAAACAAGTGTGCGTTGAACAGTCTCCTTCTCTGCATAACATTGCCACTTAGCAGGCACTCAAGAAATGCACATTTTAGTAGGTCCCTCTACACAAACACTCAGAAGCCTCCAAATTTAAGACAAAAGATTTTTATTCAAAAAACGCCAAGTATAAAAAAAAAAAATAAGATCTCTTTTATTCCCCTGTACAGTATTTCACTCAGATAAAACCAGCAGGCTACATGCTGCTCAAAACACAGCCCCAGAGAGGCCCCAGAAGGCACGCCATCCAGAACTGCTTTCATAGATCTATCCTATATACACAAGTCAGCAACGCCCCCTCCCCAGCACCCACAGAAGCCACTTGGGTAAGTGGGTGGAGGGGCCCACGGCAGGCAGGGAGCTGCAGCACAGCCAACTCGCCTGAGTGCCGTCACCCCACAAACAGAGGCAAGCGTCGCAGCCCTCCCCCAGAAGGTCCCCAAGTCAGAACAGGAAAGGAGTAAAGAAAACTAGGGCAGCAGCTGTGGAAGCTCAGGAGAAGAAGGGAACCAAATAAATAAATAAATAAATACATAACAATGACCTCCAGGTTAGAGAATGCGCATCTTTCCAAAACAAAAAAAAAGAGGTAAAATAACTTAAAAGGAAAAAAAAAAATTAGATCAACTACAATCCTTTGTACATTACCATGCCAACTGTACACACATTTACAGCTTGTCTGTTGATTTGCATTGTTTGTGCATTTTTGTGTGTATGAGGTCTTGGCTTTGAAAATAGTTAAAAAACCAAAAAGGAAGACCAGTTCACTCAGAGTTTTACTAAAGGAGGCAGAAAAAAAGGGCAGGTGGCTCAGCATTTTGGCCCTGTAGCCTCTTCCATGGCACCTTTCAAATGAAGGATGGGGGGTTGGGAGTGGGGGGAGTGGGGGCAAGAAAAAGAGGGAACCAAACCCAGGCAGATTTTTGGAGAAGCAGCAGGTAAAAGAGGCAAGTTCAAGTATTTCTCCCAGCACAGCCGGAGTCCCCACAGAAGGCACTCAGAAGAGTCGGAAGAGGTGACAGGGACGTAAAATGATGCTAGTCCTATATCCCACCCCAACCTGTTTCCCCACTACCCGATCCGTTGCGGCATTCAGCAGAATGCATGATGAAGGGAACAGCTCCAAAGGCAGGGTTCTCAGCCCACCCCCCACCCCCCACCCCGGGATTTTGCACAAGTCCAGTGGTGCTGGACACCTTTAAGAGAGCATCTATGGGAGTTGAGGCCTAGGCCCGGAGTGAAGTGTCTTCTCCCTCACGTCGCAAGGCAGCCTCCAGGGGCCTGGGGTCTGGAATGAGTAGTAAATGTTGTTCCTGTATCAAGCACTGTCCTGCTTGGTAATAAGAGTCACTGGTACTTGGGAAGCTGGAGCCAGAAGCTTCCCCTCCCTCCAGGTTCTGACAGGGAGGGGAGGACTTGCCAGAAAGCTGCTATTTGCTGGGTTCTGGCAACAGACTGTGGAGATGGATCTCAGCTGTTTCCTGGGGCAGCAGGACGTCCTGCATCCAAGGGTGGTTCTGGATTTCTTCGAAGGTTGGGCGATCTGATGGTCTCAGGGCCAAGCACCATTTAATGAGATGCTGACATTCTGCAGAAAGCAGGATAAACAAAGGTTATGAATGACTCAACTGGTTTTTGCAATGTAAAGACCTTTCCAATTTGCTTCTCAGAAACTCCAAAGTGAGGAGGACATGCTCTTTCTATATTGTCAGCTGTGTGCTGGGTATGTTCTTCAATGAAAAGTATTTACTAATATCTGGATCCACTAACCTGCTCTTGGCTTCTTATAAAAAACACACACACACACACAAAAAAAACAAAAACCAAAACCAAACACACACACTCCTCTTAAACCTGTGGTTTTCAAACATCAATAGCTGGGGCCTTTCCCACGACACCCACTCACCAGATATAGGAAAGATGATGACAAGGGATTCTGATGAGACAACACTGAGCATGATGAGGTGATTCAATGCACCTCCCAACTTACAAGCATGAACACCACCCACAATGAGGTCACTGGAACCACAATATTTAGAGAGCTGCCTTAAGGCAGAGGGCAAAAAGACCTCAGCTTTTCACTCCCTGAAAAAGCAAGGAGTTGAAAGCTTCAGAAGATCTCTGCTGATGCTTTTTTAAAAAAGCTAAAACATCAGAGAAACTGGATTCTCTTTTCTAAAAAACAAAAATCAAGCCATTCTTAAGATAGGCCCTACTTCTGACCTGCCAAAGAGAGCTCAGAAGCAAATCATCTGATTTCTAGGGCCAGTTCAATCTTAAGTCACCGACCTATGATAAATTCTGCTAAGCCTCCAGTCACAGCATCCCCAGAAACACCTCTAGATCGGGCCATCCCCCAACCCTGCCCCCAGCAGTGTTTCTGGGATGGAGCTCCGAAAGTTTACCTGATGAGACCCTCTGCCTGAAGAAAACTTGGCCCCTGATGATTTCCTCGTCGTGCTCAAATGGAATATCTCCACAGACCATATCATACAGCAAGATCCCCAGGGACCAGACCGCTGCCGACCTGCCATGGTAGCGATGGTAGCGAATCCACTCCGGAGGACTATACACTCGGGTCCCTGTGAGCCAGGAGAATAGAAGGGAGCACACGTTTAGCAAAAATAAACAAAGCAATCAGATGATTAATTTACCAGATGAGTAATTCTTTTTTTTAAAAAAGCATTCTCCTTTGTTTTTCTTCAGGATTAAGTAAACTCCATCTCCTCACTCCACCTCCGGGCTAAAAAAGGAGAGTGGATGGGTTGTACCTTCTCTCCCTAAGCTTTACCCACCCCTCTACTTGCCCAAACCACAGACTGAAATGCTTCATAGACAACTCCAAGAAACAAACTGGGCTGGCATCTGACCCAAACCCTGAGGCTTGCATGTGGTAAGACCACCATTAAGGGATGAATGGATGAGTGTCTTGTCCACCAAGGGAAGTATGCCACAGACTACCCCCTAAAATGGCAGCCAAGAACCCGATTGAGAGTCTCATCTCAGATCCAATCCAGGAGAAGCTATTTGCACAACATCAAAAGTCAGCAGCCCTTGGGAGGCCTTCTCCCTAAGCTGCGCATGCAGGGGCCCACACCCTTTCCTCCCGAGACTGGGAAAATAGACAAGAGCTGCAGGGCTGGTTTCAGACCACGTGATTCCTGTTTACAAACTTTGGGTTGTAAAGGGGGAAAAAGCTGCCAACCCGCTGGCGCTCACTAGGGGGCAGCAAAGACTCGAAGGAAAAAAAAACCCACCCCTACACACCAAACATGGGAGGACCCGGCCAGCCATTAACTGTTAAATACAAAAAATGCAGCCCAACCCAGCGTCCTCCAAGGGCAAATAAACACAAACCACAAGCCCGAGTCACAAGTTTTTGAAAGGCTGTCGTTTGTTAGGTTAAGCCGCTCAGATGATGACCCACCCCTCGTTGCTTTGATCTCCAGCTCTTCATTCCCCCCTTTTCTCAAAGAACGCGCTCCAAGCCCCTCCCTAGGGTAGGTTTTCAAGCTCTCTGCGGAGACACCCAACTAATTTTAAAACCAACAACAGATCTTATTTCACAACATTCATTCCCGACTCCCTCACCCCAAAACGAGGGGGAAAACCCCAAACACACACACAAAAAAAACCCCAAAACACAAACCTAAACCTACACACAATAAAATGAGTTATTACGTGAAACTACTGTTTCCATCCCTTATCCCTTCCTGGATCAAAGGGGAGAGACTGCGGCTCTAAAAACTACCTTCGAGAACGCGAGCTCCCTTATGAAGCAAACCCCAAATTACAAAAGCCGCATCAATTTTCATCCGTCCCGCTCTCCCCTCCCATTCTTTTACTGGCGGGGAAACTGGGTCAGACTTTAGGAAAAAAAAAAAAATCTGGTCTACAGCCGGTTGCCCGTAATCTCTTATTCGCCGGGAACGCCTGGAAGCCGCTGAGCTCCCACTTCAAAAAAATGACAGAACCATTCCCGGTTCCGGTGGCCCGAACCCCCCGCTCGCTCGCCCCACCCCGATGACCTTTACAAAAGGCCGGGGACGCGCCGAGGCCTCCGGGCCGATCCGATCGCTCGCGGGCCGACTCACCATCGAAGTCCGTGTAGACCGTGTCCTTGAGCAGCGCCCCCGACCCGAAGTCGATGAGCTTGAGCTCGCCGCGGCTGAGGTCGATGAGGATGTTCTCGTCCTTGATGTCGCGGTGGAGCACCCCGCAGTTGTGGCAGTGCCGCACGGCCTCCAGCACCTGCCAGAAGAAGCTGCGGGCCAGCTCTTCCTGCAGGGCTCCCCGCTCCGTGATGAAGTCGAAGAGGTCCTGCACCGGCTCCGGCCTCTCCAGGATCAGGACGAAACTGTCGGGCCTCTCGAACCAGTCCAGGAGCCTGATGACGCCCGAGAAGCCCGAGCTCACCTTCTTCAGCAGGAGCACTTCCATGGGGACTCGGGTGCCATTGGGCTGCAGAGGCGAGGGGGCAGCGTTAGGGCGGGAAGAGCCAAGGGGGCCCCCCTCCCCACCTCTCCCTGGGGGTCGTTCCCTCCCGAGCACTTACCAGCTCTCCCCAGTCGGAAATCCGGTCCTTCTCCACGTGCTTGATGGCCACCTGAAAGCCCAGACAGCCCCATGTTAGGTCCCCTGGCCGGGGCCAAAAGCAATTCCGTTCGCCCCCCACCCTTCGCGCGGAAGACCCTCCCCACGACCCGGCGCCCACTCACCGGCAAGTTGTCTGAGACGCGGATGCCGGAGTAGACCGAGCCGAAGCCGCCGCTGCCCAACAGTGGGCCCACCTGATACTGCGACTCTAGGGGCTCCTTATCCTTGCCTAGGGGAGGGAGAGGCACAAGGGGTTCAGCGCCGGCCCGCGGGCCCCCAACAGCCCACCCAGGGGGTCCTGCCGCCCCCTCCACCATCGTGTCCAGGCCGGGGGGCGGGGGAGGGCGCTTACCCGGCGCCAGCTTGGTGGCGTGCAGGTCGTTGCAGGGCGCGGTGCGCAGGTGGGCAAGCGAGTTGATTTTGGACAAGAGCATCCCAACCTCCAGGGCGTCGGCGCAAGGTCCGTGCCTGGAGAAGCCGCAGCAAGAACTGGAGCCGGGGCTGGGCTTGCGCCGGTGGCTGTGCCTACGGCTGGCACTGCGACTGCGGGTGGCGTTGCGGCTGCTACTGCGGCTAGAGCTGAAGGCCGAGGACCAGTCGGAGGACGACTGGGGGCGCTGCCGGGGCTGGCGGCGGGCGGCAGAGCCGGCCAGGTCAGGCTGCGCCGAGGACGGCGGGGTGGGCGGCTCGTTTGGCAGGGTGTTCGGCGTTGTGAGACAGGGGATTCGTGGAGGCTGCCTCTGCTTCTGCTGCTGCTGCTGCTGTTGCTGCCTCTGCTGAAGATCCTGCTGTGTGTCTCGCCGCTGCCGCCGAGTCTTCTCAGGCCTCTTCTGCCACCGCGGCCGCTGCAGCAGACGCCGGGCTCGCCCAGCCGCCAGGAGTAAAGGGGCGGAGCGAGCGGGCGGGGTAGGGGGTGCGCGCGGGCGGGCGGGGACGGGGCGGGGCCTCTCTCGGAGGCTGAGGCTGGGAGCCCGAAAGCCTGGCACGCGGAGGGAGGAAAAGAGATGGAGAAGCGGCAGGAGCGGGCGACTCCCCTCCTCCCCCGCCCCGCGCGCTCTGTCGACTCTCCCTGGCCCCGCCCCGCCGGCGGGGTCCCAGCCAACCAGAGCCCGGCTGATCTGCATAACGCAGCTCACCCCGCCCGCGCTCTCGCGGTCAGAATGGTCTCTACGCCGCCACGACGTGGCGGGAAGGAAAAGGCGCCAAAATGGAGGGGGAGGGGCGCGGGGCGTGAAGGGAGGCGGGAGCTGGTTGCCGGCGGGCCGCGGGGGAGGAAGGATGGGGAGGGGCGTATCGATTCAAACCCAAACAATAACAAAGCCATCAAAGGCCGCCCGAGGCCGCCTTTGCCGCTCTTGGTTTCTCGGAGGTTTTTGGGTCAAGGGCTCGAGCTCGAGCATAACAAGTTGCGCCGAGAAGATAGGCGTTGGGGTGTCAGGCGGAGAGGCCCGGCGACCACGCCGGGGTGTGAGGGACTGTGTGGGGGTGCCGACGAGGGTGGTCTTTCTGTGTGACTCACACCCGAGACCTCCTAGTCTCGTTGGGCGGATTGACGAAGCGCTGTGGCTCGGGTGGGGTTCCCGGGGGTTTGTATGTGTTGGGGGGCGCGAAGGGGGCGAGTGATCTGTACGATCTGTGAGTCACGGCGGTTTCACGAAGGGAATGGGGGTGTCTTAGGCCCGGAATAAAACTGGGGGAGAACTCCGCTTCAGAAGAATGTTCCCGGGCTCGTGGTTAACGCCGGTGAAAAGACCAGCCCCCAAATTCTCGAACAGATTGTCTATTTTAAAAATGCAGAAGCGGTACCAGTGGATCCTGATTCCTAAGAAGTGATGTGTGTGAAAGTGCCCCGTAAATAGAAAAGCACGAAACAAATGTTAGTATTATGATGCCAGATGCTGTCACAGCCCCGTCTGCGAGGGCGGGAGGGAGAGGAAAATTCCTGATCTAAATGAGGGTGGGAGGCTGCGCATGATTTAATCAGAGTTTTTGCGTAGTATTCACCTTTTCATCAGCCTGTTATTACCAGGCAGGCAATACCGGCAATTATTGGCTGACCCCAGTCGTCTTGTCTCAAAGGAAACCCCTTTTTCTCTTCCCGTATGGAAATAACACGGAAAACCAGCCAATTCGACTTTCATCCTTTGTCCTTTTTAACTTCATGTAGAGTTGATAACGACGTGTGAAATGAGTTAATTAAAATTCTATGTAATCCATAAATTGAATCGTCTCGGCCTAAATCATTGAAAGCTAACTACAGTTTATTTTCTTTTCTTCCCCCCAACATCCCAAATTCCTGCCACTTAAAAGGAAAAATGAGAGGTTTGGGAATCCTTGTCGCCATCGTCATTAATTCATTTAAATGTTCCATTAAAAGTTTTCTGCAGTATTTGCTTATAAAGATGCCAGATTATTCAACAATTCTCGTGAATTTATCTTACAAAAGATTACAGATTTCCCTCTTTTGTCCATGCACTGTGGCCCAACTCATTCATTTTTGATGACTAGGAAAAAACCCAAGGGAACAAGAATTATTTCCTTTTAACAGACAGGAAAATGAAACTTAAGTAGGATGACACGGGGTCATAAAACAGCTAAGGGAGGAGCAGAAATGACCCAAATTAAACTCTTGAGTATTCAAAGTTTTCCTTTTCTCTCGGTCTTAAAACTATCTTTGGCACTGAATGGTTGTTCTTAAGTGAATGGACCCCATCTCCTCTACCTTCTCTTTTCTCAAACCCTCAGATCTAATCATACTGAACTATTAGCAGTTGCTCCCGTTTACCTAGCAATTTCCAGATTTGTCTGCCTTTGCTGGGGCAATCAACCTAAATTGGGAGTGCCCTCTCCTCCACTTTTTTTCCAAGCCCTCCCACCCCTCAGGACACTTGAACAAAGTCCCAATCATTCATTCACTGCCCAGCCTACATGTCTGACAATCATGCTTTCTTCTGGACTCTTATTGTTAATTAACTTTTCAATTATTTATGCCTCCTCTCCCTAGTCTATCTTGTAAAATCCTTGAATGAATACTCCTTTATCCAACAGTTGTTGACCAAAAGGCCCATAAAACTTCTTTTTTCATTCATAATGGGTCCCAACAAAAATAATCTTGCTTAACGTCAACTTATGCCGAATTTAAGTAAATTAAATGGGCTTAGATAAAGTTGAGGTGAGGGGCAAGGTTTTAAATCAAGTTAGCCTCACCACATCTGAGTTCTGGAACCTTCTAGTACAGGATATTGAACCAGTTACTTACCCTTTCTAAGCTTTGAAACCTTAAATGGAGATTATAATAACACCTATCTTATAGGGCTGTTTTAAGGAACAAACAAAATTCTGCACTTCTAATAAATATTAGCTATGATAATTATAATAATACTGATTATAATTATGGCAATGATCAAAAAAGGAAGAATCTGGGAACATCTTGCCCCTTGGTAGGTTTTAAAGGTGAAATGCTGGGTAAATATTTTTATTTTAACCATCTTGGAAGAGGATGTCATTTGAAATAGCTGAAAATTTTAAATCAGGTTCAACCTTTTCCCACTTTCTTAGACCTTTGTAGGGCTAAATATTTAATCAGTGCTAAAGTGATTAACATTTAATATGTCTGCTATACATGGTGGGTGCTACACAGCTGGAAGTTAGAAAACATGAACCATGTGTGGCAAACAGCTTTTATTTGCCTAAAACTGCTTTTAAAATAATTATTAAATATTCAGGCATATTTTGCATTAAAAATGACTCTTCTAGAGTAGGGAGCTTAATGTTTTGATTCATCAAAATGTAATTTAGCAATAAAAGGAATTTACCTGAACTTAAAGAATCTAACAAAGAAACAGAAAATCCACCCTAGTAATTAAATGGTAAGTGCTTTTGGGAAGATGAACATCCTTATTATGCTAACCACTCTCAGGAAAGGGGAGACTTTGTTAATGTTGATTTTAACAATATCCAAATTAATCCTTAGATGATTTCCATATTCTACCTGATAGGGATTTAATCAAGTCCACATCAGAGGATTAACATTAGCAATTTCTGTAATCACCAAAGTTTAAAAGGAAATTTGGAAGAGATTTTTGCCACTTTTTAAAAAAAGTACCTCTGAGTCTGATCAACCCATTTTCTATAACTAGGACAGTATAGCTTTTTCTCTATAAGCCATTAGCAATTAGTCAGGTGGAAATAATTTGAGCCTGCATTTAGTTATTTCTCTCTTAGAAAAAGAATGACTGCATTTGTGTTGTTGTTAAGTTCTGTTTTGAGTCCTTTATTATCAGTTTTTATTATTGTTTGGTAAAGTATAAAAAAAAATGGAGAAAGCCAGTTGCAATGCCTTGAAATATCTCATTTCCTAAACAATTATAAGATTACTTGGAAAATTTAAATTTCACACATATTTTATTTATGTGGAATATGTGTGAAAAGCCACTGCAAAAAGTAAGACATGAAATAGTCTAATTGACTAAAGACTCCTTTTTAAGTTGGCGTAATTATGGTACTAAACAGCTAGGAAGTTCAAAGTGTCCCAACTTAAGAATGGTCAGAAAATCTATGTAGTCGAATGAGAACTGGCATTTGTTCTTATCTATTGTTTGTTTCAAATTTTAAAAATCTCCTTTAGCCAGCTTTCTGTTTTCTCAGCAAGTTTATAAAAGAAAAAGGTTTTTACTTTCCAGTAAGGTATATTTAAAGCCATTCACAATTATTTTGTTTTTCTAATGAAATGCAAGTAAACTAACCTTTTTTGCAGTTTTACATATCGAGCACTGACAATTTCAATAAAAATAATATTTAATAAAGGCACTGTACATAGTGATTTTTGAGTTTCTGAGTACTGCAAAAATAGGTGAAAACAAAAGGGCTTAGGAAAAGAGAAAGGATATGGGAAGCCTGAAGTCTGTTATAAAATACCTTGTTAGACGTCTAGAAAAATGTATGCCTCAGATCAAAAGACTAGGCTCACGAACAAAAACCCTGTCTAACTGACAAAGAAAGGGTTCGTGGTGTGTGTGTATGAGAGAAAGAGAGAGAGAGAGACTGAGAGCATCTTGGGGAATTGGAGTTGATGAGGGGATTGTCTGCAATCTTGCAAAAAAGTAGAATAAAATTGCTTATGTGTGTCTTTGAAAAGCCAGAAAGAACATCTAAGTGGGGGGGAAAATTTTAGCCAAAAAAAGATTTTGTAGAACGTCTTATAAGACATTTCAAAAATAGTAATGAAAACATTTATTGTTTACTTCATTTGTCATTTAATAATATGCAGTCTTTATTTGTCATTTTTCCATGTTTGTTTTTTTCTCTACAACTAGATTATAAATACACTGAGGGCACAAACCATCATCCTTTCATTGACTGCAAAGGCACTGAAAATGAGTTGGGAAGGTTGTTTTTATGTGCCATTGAGTCGACTGCAACGCATAGTGACCCTGTGTGTAAAATAGCTCTGAACCCTGCCCTATCCTGAGCCAATCTCATCATCTCCAACAGACCTAATCCTATTTCTTCAGTCACTGAGTCAATCCATCTCATCCAGGGTCTTCCTCTCCTGCACAGTCCCTTCATCCTTCCAAGCATGATGTCCTTCTCCAAGGACTGATCCCTTCTGGCCATGTGTCCAAATATATGAAACGGAACTTAAAAATCCTTGCTTCCAAGGAACAGCTTGGTTTCATCGTCTCTAGGACAGACCTGTTTGTTCTCCTGGCAGTCCATTGTATGGTCAACACTCTTTTTCAGCTCCACAATTCAAAGGCATCTATTATTTTTGTTTGTTTGTTTGTTTTTGTTTGTTTTTTGTTATCTTTAGTCATTACACAGCTCTCTGCTGCATAGCAAGTAATTGCAAAGACCATGGCCTGTATCAGGTGCACGTTGGA